CACCCACACCTTGGAATAAAAAAAATAAGATGCCGGTATGAATGTTATATTTATTTTTTTTACTACTAGAAGCAAAAAAAGCAATGAAGTAAAAAAAGCCATGAAGAAATATTTTTGTTTTGTCTTTTTGTCTAATATTTTATGAAACAAGATGTAATCGTCTTCGTATCGTTCGTTTATATCGTTCATAAGTCTTTAAAAAGTGTTGTTTATATGATGTTGATGGAGTAATAAAGACAGGAAAAGTCAGTATCGATGGAATAAACGAAATAAAATATCCAATTAAAAACGGCCAAGGGTGATTTATTGAACTCATACAATTCGATACAAAATAAATGATTAAATGTGGCATAGCCAATAGAATTAAACTAATTGAAGATATCAATAGATGTTTATGTTCTTGAATCTGTTTCTTTAATATTTTTCGATAACTTTCTTGAATTCGAATAATTTTTCGTTGTCGAGCTGTTACTAAAATAATAAGTGGACCAGAAATTAAATTAATAATAAATGGAACGAAAAAATGACATAGATTCATAATTTTATTATATATTCTAAACGGTGATGAATAAGTGATAATACACCAAATTCTTTTATCATTTTCATTATCATTATCCTTTATTAAATGTCGATGAATAGGATCATGAATATTTGTAGAAATATTCAAAATAAAAAGAATCAAAATAATAAATTTAGCCATTTTTTTACTTTTATTCTTATCAAAACTAGTTCCTTTAATTACACTAATTACTCGTTCAATAGCTACACATGCCGATAACCATCGATCCATATTAATACCAATTCGTAATAAAAAATCTATTGAAATACATTGTATTTTTAAGAATGAATCATTTGTAATATACATCATTTGTGCAATAAGAAGTATCCAAAATTTTAATGCAAACAATATTATTGTAAATAAAGTAATAATTGATATTGTTAGTAAGTAAATTCCACAACCAATTTGATATATTTCTTTATTATTAAATGTCATAAATGATAGAATACTATTGATTAATCCAATAATTGTTATAATCATTGTTAATATTATACTTAATTGTATAACAAATGGTTGATGTTTAATCGTAATGTGTGGTTGAATTTGATAACCTAAAATATCATCAAGAGAAAGACCAAATCCCTGTGCACTAAATTGACATAATGTTCCATAAAAACATGGACGGCAAACACATATTGATGTTTGTGGACATGTAAATCTATCCTGTAAACATTGTGCTTCATTTTGACAATTACTTCGACCAGAACAATCGAATTTTTTCTTAGAATCAAATTCAAAACAATTGGCTATACGTTGTTGTCCAAAATAATTACATAAACAAAAATGATTATCATCATAAAAACAAGAAAGATTTAATGATGGATTTTGACATGGTTTATGATAATATTTAATACGACGAAGAGGATGATAATGAAGAGTTTGACGAAATATTTCATTTATATGTGGACAATGATCTTTTAATTGAATTTCTCGATTAATTCTTCTTGATTGATGATACATATTTTGAACCAGGATTAAATAATAATTTTTATTATCAAGTTCAGCAAAAACAATATGAAATGGATATGACCAATAAAGTGTCACTGTTCTTTTATTAACAGGAATCATTTGATATGTACTACCATTGATTGGTGGAGGACCATTAAATACTTGAATAAAATGAACAAGTATTGATTGAGATAAATCAATATTTTCATGAAATGACAGATTAATTTCATTATCAATTATTTCACATCTTACTCCACTAAAACCTTTTTGACAGATACATTTGAATTTTTTATTAGATACAATATGTTCATCAGTTGGTATACATTTACCGCCATTTAGACATGTTAGATTTTCATTTGAATGGCATACTCGGCTTTGAAATAAACATTGAGAACCCCATTTATTCGAACGACAAATACATAAAGATCGATTGTTTGGTAAAATACCAATGCATAATGAATCATGTGAACATGTACAGTGATGTGAAATGTTACAATATCGTCCAGACCATCCTAGATTGCAGCGACAGAATGTAGCACCATTTCGATGATCTGAATATTTCATACATTGACCATGAATACAATGTTGACTTACACAAAGTTCGCTTGTATCAGTTGTCGGTGGAATATTCAGTTGTACAGCAAGACGATGTACAGGTAAAAATGAAAATTGAATTGGTATTAAGAAACTTCTTCGATAGGTAAGAGAAATCTTTTCATAGATATCGATATGAATTGAATAATTTTTCTTTTCATCTTTTGGTCGAGTCAAATATAATAAATATATATTGAATTTAATTTGGCAATTTCGAATATATAAATAACTAAACTGATGATGTGAATGGATCAATCGGTCATGACTATCATCGATCAGTAAGACCACAATAGCAAATAGAATTTGTCGAGAATCAGCATATGTTTGAAATTGTAAAGTAAGACTAATTCGTTGATTTTGATATTGACACATATTTCCATAAAAACTAGGTGGACATAAACATGTTTCATTAGTCAAGTTTTTTTCATAATCTAGCCAAACTTGTAGAAGTAAACCACGATGGCAACGTTGTTGTTGTTGACGAATGATTTCTTGAGTAATAGATAAAGGTAGTCGTGTCATTGTTGCATTTTTTTTGATGGAATTGTTCATTCTACTCAATGAAAAGTTTGTCGGCACCCGTGGTCTCTCCCTATCGAGTTTACGTTGACGAAAAAATTTGTCAATGTCAGAATCTATAAGCACAGATGAAGAATAGTTCCATGTTTTCTCAGAAAATAGTGATGGATCACAATCTACTTCATCGCTACCATTTAAACAATTCCGCAATCCATCACATCGAGTATATGAATTATTACATATCCAATGTTCACATTCTGTCTCATCAGTTTCATATCGTCCAGCGATCTCAACTGGTATTAGTTCAGTAAATCCATCACAAATCATTGGAAATGAAATATGATTTCTGATGTAATCATCATCTGAGTCTTCATCTTCACATAAACGATATTTATTAGATCCACAATGACACCACCCATCGTTAAATAATGTCGGAGAAATACAATGATTTTGTGTGGCACATCGTGTAAGATGATACAATTCAGAATTCAGGCACGGATGATCATTGGAAGAACATTGTTCATCATCTTTGTAATCACAATCGTTGATTTTATCACAAAGAAGATTTGTGGAAATACATTTTGAAGAGTTAAGACATTTATACATATTTAATGCGTTACAATTTAAAGGTTCATTGTAATTCACTGTGTTACAACGACGAAGGTGTTTAAATGAGGGTAAAGCATACCTAGCATTCCAAGCTGCTCTATTGAGCCCAGAAAAATCAAATTTTAATAGAAAATCTTCAGGACGACCACATGTTGCATTATTGAATGTTAATAATGGTCGATTGAAATAGAATCCACTACAAAGTTGATCATTATAGCAGAGATATCGAGGTTTTGGTATATATAGATTAAGCTCCAACATATCTTCTTTTGTATATAAAAAGTATATATGTCCGAATATAACTGGAGTCGATGGCATATACAGCATATCAGGACATGTTTGATCGATTATTTCTGTAAAGTTTCCATCGGAAGAAATATTTTGGCATATTAAATCGGATGTTATGTTTGTGTTCCATTGACAATGAATAGCTAACCAACAATCATTTGATACGTTTTGTGGTTTATCAGTGAACATTAATTTTTCTATTAAATTTGTACGTTTTTTAACACATGAACTTGTCATCGTTAGTCGCAATGGCATATTGCGGTCAGAACATGTTACATCTTCTGTTGAAAATGTTGGTTCACTGTTCATATTTATACGGTTATGTAAAAAAGAAGACTTCACATCTGATTGATCAAGACATTCAAAAACATTAGAATCATCTTTAAAAAAAACCTTCTGTATACATCGTCCATTTCCACATCGATATTCATTGTCTTCACATTGATTGATATTCAATTGCCAGCAATATTCTTCATCGATTCCATTTCGGCAATCGGCAATACCATCACATATTTCACTCCAATCAAGACATAATGATACAGAACCACGATCACATTCTAAATGAATGTAACATGTCAGTCTTGTTGGTTGATATTCATGTAAATAATATTCAT